GTCCTTCTAATGGGTTAGATTAACAATGAAAAAAAANCTGTCTTTGGCACTCAGCCAAGCATGGGTTGACCAAGATGGTTTTTGATTGACAGGTGTTCTTTCGGGGCTTCTCTAGAAATTTACGGGATATAATTTTTCTGATGGGTGTATGTCCTCACGGAATAGACTGATACTACGTAATTTAGGTGGTTTGAATCTTCCGCTTTCAAGGAAACATAAAGAAGTCTGAAGTATGAATTGGCAAACATACCTCTATGAATGTTGTTTCAGACGTGTTGTTTCTGGGCTTCGTATCCTATTTCCACTTAAATAAACCAATCTTTAATATTATAATGACTGCCACAATTACTTGTATAATGTGTACCAATGTTGTAGTTTGCAATAACAGGGGAAGAGATTAATGTGACACACATGCAACTTTGATCCGTTGATACAGTGACACCTGCTGATGTTAATAAATCAACCAACATGTTGCCATGCAGAAGTCGGAATCAAACGTTTCTCCAAAGAAGACTTAACGAAACAAATCCACTAGTTTGTCATAACGTCTTAAAATTTCGCAGATTTGATGAAATGTTTCATTTAAACATTAATTGGGAAGTTGATTCTTTTTTAAGAAATACGGAAAATCGACTTACAAATTAAGACTGAATTTAAGATTCCCTACACCCTCCCTCTGATTTCAGAAAATATTAAAGTTTAAGACAATTCGATCTTACAGGCTGAGATTAGGGGGAATTTGAGCCTTCGAAGCCGCGGTAGCGAACAATATAGAACAAAGCCTACCACTCTCTTCCCCTGTTGTATGATTTACAACTTGTGTAATATTTTCGTAAGGCAACACGTCTGTAAACCAATTCGATAAAATGGTCTCTGTTTTATGTTTTTAAAATATGCTGAATAATAAAAATAAAATGAAAACCTCATGGTTTGACTAATCGGAAAATCTGGAACAAAATGAGCGACTGCACAGAGGACATTGCAGAGACATTTTTATTGTTGTTCGATATTTGTGTAATATGACACAAGGAGAACACATAACATTCAACCTAAGGATTCTGGCAAACGATATGAACTGCGTCATGATCGTTCGAAATTTTGGAAATTTATGACAAAATGAACATAATCTACAAAATATTACAAACACAATTTGTATTATTAAAGGCAGATTGTCAATGGTATACTCGACTATCGGTGCACATTCCTGATTTAGGTACAACTGGATTGGCGATGCTTTTCTCGAGCGGAGTGGCCAGAGTCTGGTGTTTGACCACACAGGAATACAGGTCGTGTGACTCCCACTCGGAGGTTGGCAGAGTCAGATAACTGCTCACACTGTACGTGTTGTCCGCCTGCTGTTTGATCGCACTCGTTTCAACACCTTCACTTCTGGTACCGCCATCCACAGTCCACTCGACCTCCACAGCTCCCGGGATAAAATCATTCACCAGACACACCAGGGTCGCCTTGCTCTTTGCTGTGATTTGATCTGGTGAAGGGGGAAGGACAGTCACCGAAGGGCCCTGTGGTTCTGGAAGGGAAGAAGTTTATATTCAGAAAATGTCCATTTATTTGATGACACGAAGGACAATTGAAAACTAAATATCAAGTCTTTTGAATCATTATACAATGACCTTCACAAGAACTCTCACATCATTACTGAATAACACAATCAGCAACGTGTTCATTCTGTTGACAATAATGTTGAACAATGTCCGCCAATAGAGATTGTTCACATAAAGATATCAAATCAGTTTGAAGTGGTTTCTGTTAATACGGGTTGCTCACCATGCATTTTATAGCTTATTATACCATCTCTAGATTGTCACGAATACATTAAAGAAATTAAAATCTACAATCATCAGAAACGCCATCGGAGACTGAATATCCTGTCACATATAATATGACCCGAGAGCAGCTGACGGGAAGCGAAGTAACATTTTTGAATATTAATTGTATCTCCGAAAAAGCACGTTCACGAGGGAGAAAACATATAAAAAATCAATGCGAATAACTGACAAAGATTGCAACTAAACGCTCCATTCCGATTAATTCCCTGTAAACGTTTATTGATCGCTTCTTTTTTTGGAGTTTCAATAACCGCTACGCAATGGCTGGACACAAGTTATACTTTCTTTTATGTTCTCTCCTTAGTCGGGTGGGAAACTGGATTAAAGCTCCACTACTATGCGGCTGAGCATTAAGGGTCTTCGGAAAACTGGAAGAAAGTCTAGGTAACAATAACAATAACACATTACATCTTTATAGCGCTTTTCACTTGAACCACTTACAGCTAGATGATAATAACAATAATAATATAAGTGATAAGAATAATAATACTTGCATGTGTTACAAAGTCTTATCAAGACTTCGAGACGGCTGAAAGCACTTCACAGAATATATGCTGAAGTGAATTGAGTGTATATTTTGTGCTCTAAGCGCAGGCGAAAACTGATTAAAAGCACCAGAATCGTAAAGTGATTGGTATACAATCTCCCGGTTCAATACATCACGAAATACAAAAAGCTATTTATAAATACAATCAGAACATTAACAATTATAATGATAACAAATCGGCTTGAAGAGGCGACCTAAGATATAGCTGATCGGAATAATTGCAAATCCACAAATCTTTTCATCGATTCCTCTAAAAAACAATCATAGTTTCCCCCAACAATGTTTTGCAGTCATCAGCGGCAAATAGTAAAAACGTGAAAATTCGGGGGAGAAAGAGAAGGTTCGCTTTCTTCAAACACTTTGTGAACGAAAAGTCAATACATTATGCATTAGAGAAGCATAATAAAGGTAAACTTTCAGCAGCTGAAGAGAGTGATTGTTAATTTCACAGTGTTTTATTGGGCGCGTGAAATATATTACATTGTATTTATAATAAATATCGTTGCGCAGTCGAAAGGAAATCAACATACTACACTTCCACAATTTATATTACATTTTTCTCCGTACTTTTATTTCTGTTTTGACCAGATTGAACCGCCGCTCAGCCTGTGTCTTCACTCAGCGCTGATTCACATCTGAACAATTACAGGAACTTTTGTGAAACACACGTGATATTATTGCGTCTCTGCTGCTAATTGCAATGGTAATCCCCTCAGAGACATCAAATAATATAATAATAATAATAATCCTTGCATTTGATATAGCGCTTTTCACGTCTGTCTTGATTAAGCTTAATGTGCTATACTGCTGAAGTATTTGCATATCAAATTTAATTGACATGGAAATAATTCAGCAGAATGGCCCAGCTGCAAAAATATTTCCTTATTAATTCTAAGTGATATTTCCAAGAAAATATGTTGATTAAGATTAAAATTGTTGTTGATAAAGTTTCATTGGTAACTGTTCGTAAATGTTTGTGTTAAAATGTGTGAGTGTGGCCTTTGTCATGTGTTAGAACAACAATAAAAATAATCTGTCTTTGGCAATCAGCCAAGGCGTGGGATGGGCCAAGATGATTTTTCTTTGACAGCCATTCATTTGGGGCATCTCTCGAAATTTATTGATTAGCGTTTTTCTCGTGGGACTTTGTTCTCACAAATTAGACAAATACTATGCAATTGGTATATTTTGATAAAATATCGATTGGTATCGACCAAACATACCTACAGATGTATTACATTGGATTAATCAAGTGGAACTTGGAGAAGAAGCCCAGGCTTCCGAGTTCGACTTTAGTAATCCAATCTTTAACATTATATTGAATAAAGACATTCATGATTACTAAATAATATTTAACAATGTTGTAGTTTGTATTAAAAGGGGAAGAGACAAATGCGACACAAATACAACTTTGATATCGTTGATACAGCGACACCTGCTGATGTTAATCAATCATGGAAATACTTCAGCAGGATCGCACAGCTGCTGAAGTAATTCCTTATCAATTCCATATGATTATTGCCAAGAAAATATTTTGATTAAGATTAAAATTCTTGTTGATAAAGTTTCATTGGTAACTCTTCGTAAATGTTTGTGTTAAAATGTGTGAGTGTGGCGTTTGTCATGGGTTAAAGTAACAATAAAATAAATCTGTCTTTGGCAATCAGCTTAGGCGTGGGACTGGCCACGATATTATTTCATTGACAGCCATTCTTTTGGGGCTTCTCTAGCAATGTAATGAGTAGCGTTTTTTCTAATGGATGTTTGTTCTCACAAAATAGACTAATATTTTGTAATTGGTATTTTTTGATAAAGTATGGATTGGTATCGACCAAACATACCTACAGATGTATAAAATGGGATTAATCAAGTGGAACTTGGAGAAGAAGCCCAGGCTTCCGAGTTCCAATTAAGTAATCCAATTTTTAACATTATATTGAATAATGATCTTCATAATTACATGTATAATGTTTAACAATGTTGTAGTTTGTATTAAAAGGGGAAGAGATAAATGCGACACAAATGCAACTTTGATCGTTGATACAGCGACACCTACTGATGTTAATCAATCAGACAAGATGTTGTCAGGCGGAGGTTGGAAGCAAACATTTCTAAACAGCAGATTTACGGGACAAAATCCACCAGTTTCTCAATAATATTTAAAATTGGGCAGATTTGCGGAAATGTTTCCCTTTCAACCTGAATGCGGAAGGTTTATTTGAACAAATACAAAAGAGCGATTTACAAATTAATACCCAATTCAAGGTCCCCCCCTCCTCCCTCCGAGTCCAGACAATATTACAGTTTAAGATCAAACCATCTTACAGGCTGAGACGAGGTGGGATTTTGAACCTTCGAAGCCCCGGAGAGCGCAACACAGAATGACTCCGACTGTTGGGGAATGTTCTGCTCCTGTGCCATTGTTGCTATGATTGACAACTACTGTAATATTTCCTCCGGTAAGACAACATGTCTGTAAACCAAATCCATAAAATGTCGCTATTTTATATTAAAACATGTCCAGAATAATACAAATCAGATTAAAATCTCATGATTTGATGAATTGAAAAGGAAATCTGGGAGAAAATGAGCGACTCACAGAGGCCAATGCAGAGACAGTTTATTATTGATCGATATTTCTGTAATACGACACAAGGAGAACACATATAATTCAATCTAAAGTTTCCAGCAAACGGTACAAACTGTGTATGGATTGTTATCTCTTTGCGAAATTTATGACAAAATGAACATAATCGACAACATATTACAAAACACAATTATTATTATTAAAGGTAGATTGACAATAGTACATTCGATTATCGGTGCACATTCCTGGTTTAGGTACAACTGGATCTGGCGATGCTTTTTTCGAGCGGAGTGGCCAGAGTCTGGTGTTTGACCACACAGGAATACAGGTCGTGTGACTCCCACTCGGAGGTTGGCAGAGTCAGATAACTGCTCACACTGTACGTGTTGTCCGCCTGCTGTTTGATCGCACTCGTTTCAACACCTTGACTTCTGGCACTGCCATCCACAGTCCACTCGACCTCCACAGCTCCCGGAATAAAATCATTCACCAGACACACCAGGGTCGCCTTGCTCTTTGCTGTGATTTGATCTGGTGAAGGCGGAAGGACAGTCACCGAAGGGCCCTGTGGTTCTGGAAGGAAAAGATTTTGTACTCAGATAATGTCCATTATTTGATAAGACGAAGGAAAGTTGAAAACTAAATATCAAATCTTTGTATCAAATACTGCAACGTGTTCTTGGTCTGTTGATAATGATGTTGAACAGTGACAATATCCGCCTCTAAATATAATAAATCAGTGTGAAGCGGTTATTGTTGTTGCTCACCAAACACTCTGCAGCTTATTATACTATCTCTAGATTATCACGATCCCATTTACGAAATGAAAGACTGCAATCACCAGAATCGATAACAGACACTAAAACCAGGTCACAGTGAATACTGACGGGAGCAGCTGATTGACAGCGCAGTGAAGCTTTCGGATTATTAATGATATCTCTGTCAAAGCTCATTCACACGACAGAAAGTTTCGCCCACAAAATGCAGTCATTTGACTTCACGGTATATTATGTGAAGCGCCTTGAGATGTCTCGTGACGTGAAAAGCACTATATCAAATTCAAGGATTAAATTCAAAGATAATTAAACCAAACATAAAATAAATGCTGCTAACTGACAATCTTTGCAACTAAACGCTCCATTCCGATGAATTCTCTCTAAAGGTCCATCTGTCGCCTCTATTTCCAACACTGCCCAATTCTGGGAAGAAATGTGTGAACATTTGAGTACCGTTTGGAGTTTGAATTATCGCTATAAAATGGCTGGGCACAACTTATACTTTCTCTGATGCCCTTTCCCGAGTCGAGAGGGAACGGGATTCAAGATTGACGATTGTGCAGAAAAGCAATGACGGATTTCAACAAACTGGAAGATGGTCCAGAATACAAACAACAATTCACACTTGTACAGAGCCTTTCACCTTGACCACTTACAACCAGATGATCATCATAATAATAATCCTTGCATTGCTTATGGCACGTTACCACATCTTCGAGACAGCTCAAAGCATTTCACAGAAGATACTGTGAAGTGAATTGACTGTATATTTTATGACTGAAAGGCGGGCGAAAGAACACGAAAAGCACCAGAATCCGAAACTGGTTTGTGTACAATCTCCTGGTTCAAAACATAAGGAAATGAAACGAGCTGTTTATAAATAAAAGCAGAACATTGACAGTTATAAGGATAACGAATCGGTTCCAATAGGTTGCCTTCTGAATTACAGCTGATCGGGATTATTGTAAACCCATATTTTTTTCATTGCACCCCCTATAAAAACAATCAGTCTTTCGACAAAAAAGTTTTAGATACACGAGCGGCAGTTATTGAAAACCTGGTAATCCGGGGAAAAGGAAAGGGGTTCGCTTTGCTCAAATGCTGTATGAAGGAAAAGTCAAAACATTAAGCGTTTGAGAAGCAAAATAAAGCAAAGATTCAGCAGCTGGAAAGAATGAATGCCAATTTCACAAAGTTTCATAGGGCGCTTGAAGTATGTTCCATTGCATTTATAATAAATATCACTGCGCGGTAGACAGGAAATAATCAAGTTACATTTCCATAATTTAGATAACATTTTTCTTTCATTTCTGCTTTGACCAGATTGAGCCGCCGCTCAACAGTCTGTGCCTTCACTCAGCGCCGATTCACATCTGAACAATTACAGCAACTTGTGGGGAAACACTTGTGACATTACTGAGTCTCTGCTGCTGATTACAGTGGTGCTCCCCTCAGCGACATCAAACACCGAATCGGGAGAAAATAAAACATGTTAAACAATCAAATATCCGAATACAACTCTGCAGAAAGGAGATAATAGATATATCGACTAATGGGAAGAATAACACAGAGGTTCTTTGCACAAGTCTAATTTCTGTCAAAATTCGCATTAATTCACTGAGCCGATCATAACATTGGAATTGTTCTCAAATAATGGATTAGTTGCTAATGTGAATTACTGGTCAGAGAAACCTTTCTCAGAGTAATTTCCGGTCATCTGGGTCATAGTTGAAGACTGTTACTCGTTCTCTTGGATGTTTAACGTTTTGAAATATTCAAGTAGTTACGAACGAGAAACATTTCTACGATGTTTTTTACATCTGAGATTGAACTCCTCACCAATCGGTTCAGCTATCCTTTGGAAAGCTGTTGGTTATCTTTTTGTGTTGGAGATTCAAACCCGTGGGTGGGTTGGCGATGATTGGAAGTAATCATATCAATGATAACAATAAAATGAATAAAACTGTTACCAGGAAGTTGGTTGTCCAATGCAAATCAAAATAATTATTGGGAAGGAGAAACAACGACAACATTTAGCGACCCAGAGCGCTTGAACCCACAACGTGCAAAGTGTAGAATGCCGAAGATCACTTACTTTTCAAACTCAGTTCACTCCCTTTACCGAAAAAGAAGTGATACGGACTGCTGCTATCCCAGGCACCACAGGAGTAATCGGCGGCGTCCTCAGCTTGCACACCGCTGATGGTTAAATGCACGGCGTTGTTCCCTGAGTCCACAGAACCAGAGAATCGATCAGGAATCCCCTGAGGTTTGCCGTTGTTACTTGACCAGAGAAGCACAGGGGCGCCGTCAGGCTTCTGCTGGTACCAGCTGGTGTAGTAGCTGCCGATGCTGCCTCCGGACATGGTACAGGTGATCTTGACGGTGTTTCCCGGGGAGGATGAGATGGACGATGGCTGAGTCAGGGTAACAGCTGCGGTTGTGCCTGGAGAAACAACAAGTCAATATGTACATTGTAAAACCGTACAAATTGAATGTAACTCAGATCAGTGCGGATTCCATAGCGCTTACCATGTAAACACAGGAGCAAAGCGGACAGGACTCGGAGCCAATCGCCCATCGTGAATAGTTTGATGAAGATCAGAGAGATGAGGGATTTTCCAGACCAAAGCCACTTTACTGCTTGTTTCTCAGCTTCTCCTTAAGAACCATCAGGTGATGTAAGTCCAATTGAATTAATGAACTATGCAAATCACCATCCGGGTTGCACCGCCCAATCGGAGTCCTTGTTCTGAACTGGAGATTCAAGATCATGCAGATTGGAGACATTTTACCGCCGATACTTCAAAAGATATTTCATGATAATATTGCATAACATTTCTCTGTGAAGGGCTTGAACAAGCTTTCTTATTTTCAGTATGAAAGAGATCAGTTGATTTAAAATGAAGATAGAATAAAATAATTCTCAATTATTTACAGAATGTTGGAAAAGTCTTATTCGATTAAACACAAATTTATGTCTTGGTTTTGAACTACATTGTTGTGGAGCTTGTTCCCATGTTGGATAATTTGTTGATGAGAAATTGTCATCGTTTTATACAGTTACAGTTTGCACGCTGTGAGATACAGACCTGAACAGGAGGCTGCGTTGCATCTCAATGGTAAAGCTTTATTTCGTTCAACTATACAGCGGTATAAATTCACATTATATACGTTGCATTTACATTGTATTTGATATAAATTGTCTAAGTCACCTTCCTGCAGGCACCAGCCCCATCCTGCCCTCATACTCAGATTCACTTTGCTACACATGCTATGCATCGCTCCAGATGTGATGCTGTTTAATAGAAGGATTAGAGTTGCATTCCCATTTCGTGATGCTTAAAAAGGATAGTTTCTCTCTGAACGTTATAAACGGGGAAGGGAGACTGGGCTCTGTTGAACCGCGAGACGGGAGGAGAGCTCCACAGATATTTGTGATCTTATTAATACAGTTTTGCGCTGTTTCCAACTTCAAAGTGTGGAATGGTCAAGCTGGACAAGCAATATGTAAGCTAACCAGAAAATGCCCTCAATGACAAATAGTATGGTTTTAGCTGTTTGAACTCAAGCTGCGTCACAAATGATAATATGGTGCCCCAAGGTTGGCAATATTCAATCTACCCCCAATACTTTGCAGAATACGGTAAGCCGTGATTTGGGAGAGAGGGATCGTTCCATTACTATCCCAAGAAAATTGACATAATAACAATAATGCTTGCATTTGATTTAGCGCGTTTTCACATGTTCAAGACGTCTCAGTGACATTTTTGATAGAAAATCATGGATTTATTAAATCTAATCATTTTTGAAGAGGCTCAGAAATGACTGTGATTTGCAATTCCTGCCCCCAACCTCCTGCCAACCACCATAAACACTGAATACTCAAATTGGGGTTTGATTTGGCACTCTGGGAAGGAAAGATTACGGTAGATTTTGTGAGCGAGTGGGTAGAAGTGTTACTTCCTTTCACACATTTAGATAATAATTACACAAAGGATAACTAGCGAATCAGATAAAATGTTGGGTAGAGGCTCTAACACTCTATTCTCTTATTTTTCTTCAATTGTTAACTAAATCTTTAATTTCCAATTTAATTTTAGATAATACCAGACCCTGATGTTCTCTTCTTGTCTGTCTGCCGCGTTTTGCCCACAGCTATACAGTCAGTTCACTTTTTCAGTGTATCACATGAAGCATCTTCAGACATCTTGTCCATGTGATAAGGCGATATATCAGATGCAAGAATTATTCTTTATATTGGGCGCTAATGTTCTCTACTTGTCTTGGAAAGAGGCAGATCAATATGTTTGTAATCAACAAAACACAAAATGCAGCCGATGCTGGAAATCTGAAGCAAAAGCATAGGTCACTGGGATCACTCCACAGATCAGGCAGCATCTATGGAGAAAGGAAAATTTAATGTTTAAACAAACCAAAATAATTTGCAGTGCCTCTGCCTGCATTATATGCCGTGAAGTATTTTGTGACATATCAACATGTGACAGGATGCTATTATATGCAAGAGTTATCTCTTCTTATAATACTGGACATTTTGTATAAAATATTAACAATTGTAAATCAGTATTTCCTTCCAGGAAACAGATGTGATGGCATCAACACAAAAGCTGAATAGCGCTGTTCTTTACATCCTCCTTACAACTATGATGTGATGTTATATGGATCAGGAAATGTACATGCAGATTTATGGAACTCAAATTGCTGAAGGAAACCCAGTGCTCAAGAGCACGTTCACACCATCAATGCCTGCATTGAAGTCTGCGCATGTGTCGATCCAGTACCAAATTTGTGATACATCAAGTCAAAAGACTTGCCATGAGCAGAAACATAGAGCATCCTTCATTTTACAAATAATTACAGTATTCCTACAATACATGTACCGTAGTATTATAAAATAATTGTACAATAATACATTGGATTTAGCTACTTTCATATCAGGGCGACGTTTCGTGATGCTTCACTGGATTTAATGTATATATTTTCTTGGCAAATGTGGCAGCCAACTTAAGCACAGCAATTTCTAAAAACAGCCATGGAATTAAAGAAATTTTTCCGAGGTGAATTCATAGCCAAGAACCCAGGACACGTTGTCTTCTTTTTTGCAGAGTGACAAATATTGTTAAACATCCACCATGAATAGGAAAAAGGTATGGTACCTCCAACCATGCAGCACATCCACATTATTGGATTGCAGTGTCACCAAAAATAACATCAATTGAAAGGCCTAATCTGGAACTCACAATCTATTGCATTAGAGATCACAATGCTCCCACGTGTGGCAATGCTGAGACATTTGAGAATCTACCTGAAAAAGAGCTGGAGACCTGCCCAGTCCATTCTCCAATTTTGAATTGATTACTTATGGATCAGTTCCAACTTTCCACACGTTCACAGGACATAGGCTCATGCTTGCACATCCACGCCATCACGTCGGCACCATAGGCAGTGGGAGCATCAGCATCCAAGGATGCACACATACCTCACCAAGCCAGTAAGGAAACTAAACATCTTGGTCACCCCTCAACCATCATTTCTATCTCAAAGGCATGCCATGACCGTTCTGCATTCCCCACCTCCTCAATAATACAGGACTCAGCCATTTTCTCACCCCTCAGGCTGCTGAAACGCTCATTTATGCTGCCATTACAACCAGGCTCAACCTTGCCTCCCTCATCTCAGCAGGCTCCAGCCTGCTCCATGTCCCCTGCTTGTCCAGCCCGAACATCAGTAGTCGGGCCTACAGCTTGTCTGCCTGCACAATCTGGAACTCCATCCCACATTACTTTCACCTCGATCATTCCCAAGCCAAAATAAAGGCAAAGCTTCAAAACCCTCCACTTGATAAGGCCTTTTGACACACTCCTACCCTCTCTGTCTTGTCTGATTCCCTCGCTACCCCCCTCCCACACAAACTCGGACCCTAATCCCTGATTGTCCTGTGCCCTGGTATGTCCTCCTGACATGAAGGGTGCTTTATAAATGTAATTTTCTATTGTATAGAAATCAGTAATTGTCACAGAAGGATACAATTTCGCCCATCCTCTGTGTCTCTCTTCTACTTCTGTTGTTTTGTTAAACTGGATTCTTTTAAAAATAATCCATAGGCTCCAGCTGTTTCTCTATATTCATCAATGCTTTCATTTCCCTCTTCAGTGATTCAACCGCATTATCAACTTGTAGTTCTGAATTGAACATTGGTATAACGTTTGGGCAAGCAAAAGTACAATAACCTTATTTGGTGCAACCATGCTGAGAACTCACCTCTCCATTTATTTTGGTTACTTGGGTGCCTCAAACATGCAGAAAACTATCTGAATGCTGAAGTACATCCAAACTAAATTGAGAGAACTACATATGGAATACCAGCTACGTAAGCAATTTTCCTATGTCTGGAAGGGAGTGCAATCTCTCCAGAGTCATGTATCCTGGTTATGTAATTCCAGAAATTATGAGATGAAGCTGGCAAGAGCCAAATTGTGTTGACCAACTCTCAACCGTCTCTCTTCTTTGAAAGTACTCACACCCACTTAAAAACAGTTATCATCAGAAGAAAACTTTATTTCAACCATCTCTTATCTCGACCTGCTGGCACATTCCCAAGTTTAACTTTATTTCCAAGGGTCTACAATGAGACAGATTCACTCTTATGTCTCCCACCACACCTTGTATGAATGTTGAAATCGATCCATTCTGTGTTAGGCAACCATTGGAGCCTGGCGAGGACTAGTGTTATTGCGGCACTGAGGTGAGAGTGGGTGAGAATCCCGACGATGATATGCTGGATCAGATGATTTGCAGGAATGGGGTTGGTTAAAGAACAAGGGAAAGATGAAACAAATAGCAGAAATGCATTCAGGCATTTATATCAAGAACAAAGCACTACACTTTCAGCATGCAAGTGGTGCAATAAGTTATGCATTTGTATTTGTTTCAAATCTTTTGGGAAAAAAATAATAGAAATTTGATCTAATTGTGCTACTGCCTCAAAATACTTGCACTGCTGTCTTTAGTGCAGGAATTCAATTGTAACTTGGACAAGATCATTCGCTGCAGAACAGTTTCCCTTCATAATAATAATAATAACAATAATAATCCTTGCATTTGATATAGCGCTTTTCATGTCGGGAGGACGTCCCAAAGCGCTTCACAGAACACACTGTAAAGTGAATTGACTGTATATTTGTGGGCGAACGCGGCAGCCAATTGTGCACAGCAATGTCCCATAAACAGTCGTAGATTGAAAATGACCAATTTTTGTTTTTGTTTTTGATTTTTTTTGGAGGAATATAATTAGGAGTGTGGAGTAAGGAAACTTGCCCAAGGTTTCGCCCTCTGCCTGGAATTGAACTCAGGTCTCTCGCTTGCAAAGCGAGAGCTCTAACCACTGAGCTATAGGACTCCACAACCCTTTTGTTTCATGTGGAAACAAAAGGGTTAACACTCTCTGATCAGCACACCTGTGCTGTTAACACCTGTGCTGGTCAGCAGGAAGCAGTGAGTGTTCGTTTGATTATATAAACCAGAGTGCGTGTAGTCAGTGAATTTAAACTGCTCACAGTCAGTGGCTACAGTCAGTGATTTTAAAGTTGCTGTGCTGTATAAATTGATTTTCTATTGTTTTTTGTCAATGAACCCATCCT